TTGTGAAACACTTTTGACAGTGGAGGCTTTGCTTTAGGCAATGTGAGACACAATTTTAGATGCCATGACCTGTAAACTGATAATAAATTGACTGTAAAATGTAGACCAAACTGTTTTTATGCTTATTTGTCCAAATGTGCTGCTTTTGATTCTTACACAAAAACACAATTTCAGTCCTCTCTGTTTGTTTACTCGTTATTAATCTGTTTCAAAGGCACAGTTGTATATTACAGCTATACTGTTCGGGGTGATGTAGCACAGCGGTTAACTACCTAGACTGGTAATTGAAAGGTTAGATTTATATTTATAGAATTTATCAATTTATATTTTACCAGTATTTATTTATTTATTGGAGCTCCTATTTAATTCAATATTCAATTATCATAAGACATTGTACACATTTGTTCATACATAAAACCGTGCAAGTTTTTAATATTTGAAAAAATTGTTTTATATACTGTCAACAATTTAATAAATGTAGATTTCAGTGTCTACCATATTATGTATGAAGTATGAACACCAATGATTACTAATGAAATCATCCTGTATAGGTTCAAGTGACAAGGTATGATCCATGAGCTATCACCACTGCGCCCCTGGGCAAGACACTTGACCCGGGTTGCTCCAGAGGGACTGTCCCTTTAATAAATTTACTCTAAATGACTTTGGATGAAAGCGTTGCTAAATGACTCGTAATTACAACAGCTCTTGTGGAGTCTTTGCAACTTTGAAGATGAAGTTTTTAATCACTGTGCCATTATACCAACACAATACAAAACAGAAACAAATAGGTTCCCAAATAGCTGAGATCTTCTGCCCAAACCCACTCCATTAGGATAGGAAAATGTGTTTCAACATTAAAAAATACACACCATAAAAGCTATTAGGTTACCTCATCCTCTACCCACGCTCTGGATCAGAATTTGGCCCTGCTGGTAAATGCTGCATGGATGGCCAAAAGTAGCAGAGCATTGAACGTGTGAGAGTCTATAAAGCAAAGATGGCAACATCCAGGTCGCATACTTCTGGGCTGCACGCACCAGTAGCGCAACGACCATTGAGATTAATGGGAATGCTAACAATGAAAACTCTCTCTAGGTATATTAGACCTCCTTCCTCTGTATAGAGTTCTCCAGAATCCTGTAGCTGCTCCATTAGCGATCACTAAGATTTCCGTTGAACAGAAGGCAGTTTCATCCAAAGTTTCAGAGATATTCTGCCAGCATCAGCAACTAAGAAACAGTTAAAGTTTTGAACAAAACTTGGAAACTTTGAAAATATATACATATATTTTTATTCCTAACTAGACGGTGACAGGCGAAAAACTTAATTTGAACCTTGAAGAGCCAGGCTACCATTCCAGATTATCATCACTGTAACTATGCCCCTGAGCAAGCCACTTCTACCCCTGTCTGCTATTGGATGCTTTTAACTGTCCTTGTGCTCTGAACCATTTCAGTCTTTCTGTAGGACTGAAGAATAAATATTTAAGAAACTAGTTTTTTTTGGTAGCAATCTGCTGAAGCAGGGTCAACAACAGCTAAAACATACAAGTGAATTTGCAAGAGAAAGAGAGAGACATTGTAAAAGGGTTCTTTCAGTTTTGAAGTATTTACTCTTTCTGATGACTTTTTCCTGAGATGTGCCTCACCATGGAGATGATGACTAAAGGGAACAGGATAAGAGCACTTGTGCAGCTGCCCACATTGCACTGCAATCACAACAGAATGTGCTTCTATAGCGCTCCTTCAATTAAAGTCCCTAGTGTATTGTTAATAACAGAACAACCCAATAAATAGAAACACAGGTCAAAAAGAGTAGTGGGTAACATGTTAAAAAGAGTTTTACTAGACAGCTATATTTTTATTTCCATAAAACTTATATGAAATTCACTAAGAATTTTTTTTAAAGATTTATATTTTTGCCTTTATGACAGGATAGATCAGAACTCACAGGAAGCAAAGCAGGAGAGAGATAGGAGAGTGGGATCAGGAAAGGTCCTCGAGTTGGGATTCGAACTCGGGACGCCCTGTAGCGCAACGGTGCTATATGTTGGCGCGCTGCCCAACAAAGCAGTCGGCGCCAACAAAATTCACTAAGAATTAGTTGTACTCACTGACAGTGTCACTTACTAACTAAATTAATTATGCTAATCAATCAATGTGTAAACTTGCGCCAATTTTTTTCACAGATGCTCCTAAATACTAGATTGTAGAGGATGCAATATACTACTACAATCTGTTGGAATTTACTGGAACTGTTCAGCATCACACAAACTTCTGGCTGGCTATATGGCCAATTATAATGTTTTGTTCCTATAGAAAATGTACACAAATATCTCTTCATAATATTTCAACTGGTTTCTATGGGTGGTAATTCTGCAAAGTTAATAGTTTCACCAAACTATTCGCTAAACGCCCCCACAAGGACAGTAATTCCAGTAAATTTGGACCTTGTGGGACTTTTTTTTTTTTTTTGGTCCCTTTGATGAAAAAGGGTTATAAATCATACAGAATGATCTGTTTTAGAAATCTAAAATATAAAGTTTTGTGTGAGGGAAGGGTTTGGGGGTATGGTTAGGGTAAGGGGAAAGAAAACAGTTTGTACATTATAAAAAGCCTTACATCTATGGAATATCCCCATAAAACATGGAAACTCAACGTGTGTATATGTGTGTGTGCACTTTTTGTGAGGTGTTTTAAGAAAGAAAGTTAGTTAGGGGTTGAAAGAATGAGTGATTGAAAGAAAGAGGGTTTGAAAAAAAATGTTGAAAGAGAGTTTGAAAGAAAGAAAGTTTGAAAGAAAGAAAGAAAGAAAGAAAGAAATGTTTAAATCCTTTTCACAATCCAAAAATGAAAACCTACTATATAATACAATATAAGAATGTTGCAGGTTTTACAATTACAACAAAAGAACACAAACAAACAACTGATCAATATCTTGTGCACATTTTCATTCTCATTAGCATATGATTACAAGCACTTGCTGTTACACTGAACACAATATTACATGGATTTTAATGAGACACTTTTTTTTATGCTGCCAGTCAAACTGTTCGAGTCCACAGAGGAGAGGGAGTAAGAGAGAAGCAGAATCATACTTGAAACTGAAAGGCCTGTTAGTGAAACCTGAATACAAATGAAACGATTATTAAAAAGGTCAGGGACTTTTTTTTCTGAAACATTTTTTTTTCAGACTAGGAAGGGGTTGAAAGGGCAGAACACTGTGCCTTGATTAGTGAGGTTACACAGGCAACACATGACTATTACCTCCCAAAAGTTAAGGGGGCTAATATCTACTGTGACATTTTGCAGAGGGGGGTTTTAATGAAGTGTGCATTTCCTGCTCACAATCACACATTTGGGCAGGCTTGCTGAAGTATTTTTGTGGAAGTGACAGTTGTAATTACTTAGAGAAAAAAGTTTGGAGACAAACTCCAAGGGACTCTGTGAGGTCAGTGGAAGTGCTGTGCACAATGGAAACCTGATTGGGTTTCATTACCATAGGAATGGATGAGGTCTCGGGCAGAGGTTTCCAAAGGGTGTCACACCTGGACGATAATTGCCTGAAATAGCATTCAAATATTATAACCTGAGGTGACTGTGTTTTCTCTCATGTAAAATATGTGATTTTTCTTATACAGTGGTGATTTAATGCTTAGGGCCTCTCACTTACTCAGACCAGTAAGAGACTGGTAACTGACCCTGTTTCACTTCTTAAAAAAGGAATATGAAATTTTATTTGCTTAAAAAAAAAACACTAAGCCTATTTTAACTCTTTCCCCGCCACTGATGGAATTTTCCAGCTTTCTGTGTTTTCACTGTCACATGGTAGGGGATGCATTTACGCATCTTCTAAAAGTGAACAGAATCTCCAGATCAGAACTCAGGAGAAGAAGCACAAACAACTGATTGCATAAGCAGATGGATATGTAAAATAGCGAAATCATTGAACATTTAACAGCATATAAACATTATGGAATGAAATGTCAACCCAGGAAGTGTATTTTAATCATGGTTCTGAATATAATCTGTAGTCTTTCACAAAAACAATTTTCTCAGTTTTTTGTTAAAAATACTGCTTTTCATTGATGTTGTTAAACTTGCCCACGTCCAAGTGTTAATGAAAAAAAAAAAGAATGCATAAAGCTAGAATAAAATGTTTTGTTGTTGTTGTTGTTTAAAAGGAGAGGCTTGTTTCTTTCTTTTGACATATTGCATGCTCAGATATTCATACAACAAATATTCTGGGGGCCATGAACATTTATTGGGGTCATTTATTTATGACAGAATTATTTATTATGACAATTACAACCCCCCTCCACACTTCTAATTATGATTAAGCAAAGAGAAAAAAAAAATCTAATTACCTTAATGTGGAAAAAATTGTTTTATATTAATTCAATGATCAAGTATTTTATACATAGTGGTATTATTTGGTGTGCCAACTTGAAATCATGCTGATTTAAATAATATGATATACAAATATAGATATTTGTATTATAGTAATTACCTTTTTAGAATAATCAGAAATACAATTGAAAAACATCTGGGTATATTATGATAAGCAGAAATTGGGGATACAATCCTCTCAGTTGTTTTATGCATAACATAATAGCTTTTTACCGTATTGTGTTTGTATAACCTGGGTGTTCTAGCTTTGTTGTGTCACTCTCTTGAGTGTAAACACAGTTTCAATTTCACTTCCTGTCAAAAAATGTGTGATGTATGAGTAGTGGTCAAAGCAATAGGATATAATAATAAAACATGAAAAATCATTTTAATTAATAACAATGGCAGAGAATGCTACAAAATTCCATTAAATATAACAAAAATCACTCAAAAGATGCTTTACATATGAAATACCAAATGTGACCGTAAAATACCAAATGAATAATGCTGAATGTACCCGTCTTACTACAAAAAACTTGATGGTTGATAATTTACATCAGTACACGAAAAGATCTTCACCCCATTTTCTTTTTACCAGACACACCGTTGTAATCTGAAGTGTTCTGTGAATGAGGGCAGGCTCAGGCAGACGTGCCTGACAGGTGTCACAGCCTCAATCTGTCTTCAGCGTCATACAGCACCACCCTTCACTCTCACTGCAAAAAAACCAACCACTGCCTCACATGTGAACAACAGACAGTGCACTAGAGAAAAAATAATCTGGCTTCAAATTAATCTTATGTTATCATATTTTGCTTATTCGATTAATTTTAATCATGCTATTCATTCAACAAAATAACAAGTGGTTTTATATGTTTAAATCACAGTGCCAATAAAGGTCCTGTGCATGTTGTGATTGGGGGAGTGGCCACAGCTTTGCACATGAAAATTTAATTATGTGGGCCTAAACAAGCTGTGGTTCTTGTTGTTAATTAATAGCAGTTACATTTGGTTACATTGTTGCGTTTACAATTTTCCTTTCTTAAAGGCAGAGTAAGCGATTTCTGGTAGCCAATGTTGATATTTGAAATCACCAAAACAAAATTAATTGAATTGAATCGAATCGAATTTAATTGTGAATCGAATCGAATTGTTCTTAATTTGCAAAAATCGTTCTTGAATCGAATCGAAAACCTATGAATCGTGAAGTGAATCGATTCGCTGTCTACCCAAAGATTCACAGCCCTAATATTATCCTATTTAAATCAATGTGATAAACAAGTTATGTTAAAAGTAATCTAAAAGTAGTCTGATTATATTACCTACTGTAAAATGTGTAATGGATTACAACTACAATTTGAAAGTAATCTACCCAAGCTCTGCTAATAACTAATGCAAATCTTATGCTAAATGCATACATGCAAATGTAAGGTACAGTTTACAGAAGCAAAAATTCCAGTTTCATCAGTATCTGAGCATCAGTAAGTCTAAAAGAAGCTAATCTTGCAGTAAATCATGCTGCTATATCTGCATTTTTAGTAAAATGCTTTTAAATAAACATTAAACAGTGGTAGGAGATTATAGTGTATCCACAATCTCATGTATACATTTCATTTAAGTAGAGTGAATACGAGTAGATGTAGGTTGAATTTGCTCGATTTACTCGGCATGACTGAGTGAATATAACAAAGAAATATATGTATGTTTATCTCACAATAAAAAAAGTGTAAAATAACCCATTTTGTTTAAAAACAGCTTTGAAAGCTAAACTGTGTAAAATGAATTTTCGACGTTTCGATGAAATAAAAGATTATTGGAGTACATAAGTGGGTTCAGTGGGTTACTTGCAATTTCTTTGTTATTGTGAAATTAAGCCTACTAGCAGTTTCTGAGCTAAAATTGTTTCTATGCCACATTTTTTTCAGTGTAGAAACTAGTATCCTCAGCTGGAAACCCTCACAAATAAAATACCTGCAAAATAAAACCACTGATTTATTTCCTAAAGGTCACAAAATGAGCGAGGGCTAATATATAGCATGCTGCACGCTTGGTGCACCACGGAACAAAGGGAGCTCATTGAAGGAATAATAAAATACTCTCCTGTTTCCCCTTAAATGGCATATCAGGGTGACAGATTACTCTTAAGCAGTGCACACACACATGTTCGCACACAGCTCATGCATGGTAATTTCCTGCATGCTGCTCAATGCTCACACCTTCACTGCACTGCAACAGGGGACAGCGACAATGATCTATAGACCAAATTAACTCTCTTTACAATCTCTCTCTCCCTGCTTTCTGCCACTTATGTGCATGGAGCAAACTCTGACCTCTGCTGTGACACTCAAGGACAGATGTCCCTCCCTTCCTCTCTTATATTCCTTCTCCAGCTTCCTCCTTCCTCAAGAAATTTGGATAACGTTGCCTTGCGTCTATACACTTGTCCTGCTGTACTTGTTCAGAGAGATAGAAGGATGGATAGACAAGATCTTAGTGCTGTTTCGCCACTTTCAACTGTCAACATGCATTACTCATTCCGACACCTTCATTTAGGCTCATCGGACGCAATGAGCAGCTCATGGAGGGCAGGATCCAAAACCCAAAAACGGAATGAAATGAAACAAACACACTGTTCGGGCAGTTGGCGCCACTTACTCAATGCCAGACTCTTTGGAACTGACTGATTGCTGGTGAACAGGCAGGCAGCTGTGGACAAAATGAGCACCAGAGGGCTGGTTATAAGAGACCGGGAGATTGTTCTTGGTGATATATTGACAAAGCACACAAGTTGTCATCACAGCATGGTTGTCCATCAGAAAGACTCCAAGGGCAAGCGCTTATTGACTCTAATTTTGCTGTGCCAACCATGGAGTCAAAGTTTGACTGGTTAGCATGACGCCGTTAGCCCCTGTTAGTAGATGCCCTAACTAACTACATCGTACACTGACGGCCATTTAAAAGCAGTTGTGCATTCTGACTAATTTTTGTGAAAACATGCTATACACTACTATTCAAAGGTTTGGGGACAGAATTATTTTTTTGTCTGTGAATACTTTTACTGAGCAAGGACGCAATAAATTGATCAAAATTGAGGTGCAAAGACATCTATAATAAAGACAGATTTGTATTTCAAATGCACTTTCTTTGTATCAAAGAATCCTGGAAAAAAAATATATTGAGCAACACAACTCTTTTCAACAGTAAGAAATATTTCAAATATTTAATCACTATATTAAAATGATTCATGTAGAATAATGTGACACAGAAGAATAAAAATTGAAATACCTGCTGAAAATTCACCAAAAATAAATAAATAAAATAGAAAAGTGTTATTTTCAATTATAACAATATTTCACAGTATTACTGTTTTTTAATAAATGCAGCCTTGTTGAGTATAAGAAACATCTTTCAAAAGCATTACAAAAAATCTTACCAACCCCAAGCTTTTGAATGCTAGTATATACTGCTAATATTTCATTATATTATATAATATGTTTTACCAGTGCCGTTTCTTTTTATTAGGGATCTTTAAAGCGTGAAATTGACTCCACCCCCTTAGGTTTTTACCATGATCTGTGTGGATGTGCACAGCACCAACCGTTGTACTTTATGTCATAATAAATCTGTGGAGAGTGAGTGATGGACATTCATTCCTTTATCAACCTCAATTAAGAAAGCAATATAGGTGCAACACCTGCGTCCACAACACCATAAACTTCAAATGCTTCAGTCTGAAAGACAACAAAACAATATGAACCTGACTGTTCACTGTCTTCAGCCATACTGCAAAACTTATTTTCTGTAATCAGTGTTTTTTTTTTCTTTCTATTTTTCCAGGTATAACATATAAATATCCTTAAAACAAGATATATTCAGTCCCAAAATTTACTTCCAGATTATAAAATTTGTTTTCAGAGAATACCTTAAATTCCTCAAAACGACATATCTCTACTTCAAAAGGTCAAATAAATGTAATAATAATAATAATTAAAATAATTAATTTCATGTCTTACACCACTGGCATTTCGGGTCTCGTTTTAAGCATAAACCTAAATAAATTTTGTAAAGACAATCATAGGAAAAATATATATTTGCCAATGGGAAAAAAAATGAAGAATTAAAAAAGAAATCATTTTAAAAGAGATAGAGATATTCTACATTTTCTAAAAGCTGGTCTTAAAGGCAAAGTTTGAAAATGAAATCAAAAGCGGAATTCTGTCATAAATTTTCTCACCTTCTTGTTGCTCCAAACCTGTACAACCTTTGCCTGTAGAACATAAAAAGTGGCATTTTGAAGAATTGTGGTTATTGTAAGAAATTACAGTATGGTAAAGCACATGAGAAATGTACAGTATTTTGTTTTAATAATGCTCACAATAGATAATTGTACTGAAAATATGTAGCACAAAAATACAGATCATTCATTTTCATTCAATTTGACCTTGCCCCCAAAAATGCATGCACAAACAGGATATGTGAGAGATAATAAGTGATGTTTATAGCAGTTGTTTTTCAAGCTGAAACAAGCACTGTTATTTTTCGACATTGAAACTGCTGCCATGGTAATAACTGTCATCACTTATGGTGTCCAGAAAGAAAAATGAGGCATGAAAAAAACACCCACATTGTATGACAGACAGTTTCCTTACAATTTCCCTCCATAAAATCACCCTGTCATATGGCTTGTTCCTCTTGTGAGGGCAGTGACAGAACATTTCTGCTAAAGATGGAGGGGTTAAAGGAGCTGACAGCAGGGAGGAACATCAGTGAGGCCGTTGCAGATGGAAAAAGAGAGAGAGTAGGAGAGAGACGAACAGTTTGATTGACCGCTTCAAGTATCTGCTTATCAAGACCTTCTGGATGTGTCATATGAAGAAACTCCTTATTCCCTACCTAAAATTGCTTCGTGCCAAACAGATGTGCCAGGCACATGGACAATAAGCATATAATTTATTATGAAGCAGAAAAAAAAATGTCTATACAATATTGTGTTATTTCGGTTCCAAAGACAATAAACTTTGCAATGATACTGCTTTTAGAGCATTCAAGATTCTTCAAAAGCTTCCAAGAAGCCAAAAACTCACCCTCGTAACTTCTAAAAGATTTACAAATTGGAAAAAAAACAAAACCTGCACACAAAAGAAGATCCAATACAGATTGAACAACACTGAACCTCAGTGGACACTTAAACACTTTCACAGGTTTGGAATGATACAATTAAACAACAATGATACAATTATACTGTTTTCATTTTTGGGAAGGGTGCAATTTTAGGCTGATGTTTTCTCCCATTATACTTTACAACTGTAAAATAGTTACTATTCACTAAAACAATCTAAATACCCTAAACCTTCACAGTCTATGCTGAAAGAACCCTTCAAAGGTTATAAATAATACAGAAATACTGTTTGTGCCGTTGAAAATAACCCTGAAAATTCCTTTAGCAAAGAATATTGATGTCTCCCACACTCTGCATGCACTCAATGCCTTTACAAAACTATGAATAAGAAATAAAATGAGATGCCTGCCAACATATTATGGTTAGGTCTCCAATAGATATTACGCCAATTGATATTTTATGTCCAATACTTTACAACAATATTCGTCCATTTGTTTCTGTCTGTATTCAAAGTGTGTATTGGCACTGGTGAAGTGCAGGCTAGTTTGTTGTACATGTTGTTGATTGTCAGCTCAATTACTAAGCTGAAGGCAGTGTAAAACATTATGTTACTACAACAGAAGATGAGTTCTCATATAAAACATACAATTCTCTCAGGGCTCTTAGGCTATAGCTTATTTGAACGAATATGTATTTTATAAAGTGCTATATAAATGTGACTTGACTATGGCTTTTCACACTGCTAACCCCGGGTTATCGTCGTTCTAAACCCCAGGTAAAAGAACGTTTCACACTTGTAATTTAGAAGCGGAGTTAGCACCACTTTTTATTCAGGGTTCTCAAACATGTACTGTTTGCAACGATGGTGTTTTAATGTTACGGCTAGATGCTCAGCAACAGACACCAACATAAACACACCGCGTTGCTTAATCTGTTCAGCGTTTGAGGGGAAATGTCAAATGGTGACGGAAGGCATGTTAATTGGAGTGAGGAAGAGACTTTTATTCTTACCTTTATAGTCCAAAAAGTCAGGAAAAACTTGATATTACAGCTTATCGAGGATGCGCAAAGAGCCTTCATGTTGCATTCATCCAATCACACTGCAAATATGCAAATAAAAACATCAACCCAGGTTCAAATGTGTGGCGTATATAATATCGATGATTAACCCTGGGTTTAGAATGCCCCAGGGTTAACTATTTCAAGAGTGAAAAGCCTATGAACACTAGGAGAATCAAAAAGGCCACATGCTTGCCCACATTCTTGCTTTACTGCCGCCACCATGAAGTAAACCTTCATTTTATAAAAGGACACAGATTTAATTACCATTTTTATGTTGGTATATGAAAAAGATATTAACGTGAAGCTAATCATTTAACTCACTTAACCTTGGTTTGATTGCTTCAATTCCACCATACTTACTCTGCCTCCGCAGGTCTTTTCACGATGCATTATTTAAAGCCGAAACACAGTACATCTGCATCATGAATATAGTACACTAGCGCCATCCGTTTAGCACTGGATCATCTACATAACGACTTAGAGGAGACGTCTTCACTTTCATTGAGTTATCAAAGTATTTGTCCCTTGAGATTTACCCCTACAACTTCAAACGCACAAGATTTGTCTTCCACAGAAGTAAAATGCTGCTCTTCAAATGCAGTTTATTTTAAAAATCTAGTCTGTAGATTGTCAAACTTTCTTTGATTTATTAGTTGCATGAAACAATTCTGGTTCTGCTGGTAAATTGAGGCAAATCTCATTTAGAGTTTAATACAAACTGGAGTGATCAAAGGGGGAAAAAGCCATAAAATAATTTATGTATTGCCCTCCAAGCAGCTGAATGTTTCTAATTACGCTGACAAAAATATCAATCATATAAAACATTCAAATGTATTCCATAAGCCCCCTCACTTTAAAAATTCTTTGTAATTCGCAATTTGGTGGCAGGTGATGACCTGCTTAGCCGTTCACACCTCTCCGTCTGGGCTTCGGTAGGTGGCTAGACAAGGCTGTTGTAGCTAAATAATTTACTACAGAGGTAATAGCGTGGTCACAGGCTGTCCCTGCAGAGCCGGTGTGCAATGTCTGCCAAATACAAAAACCAAGGTCAAAACCTTCAGCAGAAAAGAACAGTAGAGCCAAGTTATGTGTCTTTTCTTATTAGAATCAAGGGTAAATCTCAGCCTAAAAGTCAATGTTAAAATAATAAACCTAATGTCACTGAGAGCAATCAAATGCAAATTAAGTCCAAATGAAATATTTAGTCATTTTAATAAGTCATGCTTGGTTTCTACATGAACAACTGACTTCACATTCCCCATTGTTGCATATTCTCTGTGGTTTCATATCACTTTTTGCCAATAGCCGAACTAAAAGAGACCTCTTTAAAGAGGCATTACAGAATATTTACTATGTCCTTCAGTGGTTAATTGACTCCAGTGAGTAGTGCCATCCTGGGGCCGTCACGTTATGTAATATTGAGCAGCCGCACATAGGAGGGTTATAGCCCTGCAGGCTTAGTGCTGGTGATGAGACAAAGTGCCACTGAACTTCCACTGAACCTGGGGTAAATCTGAGGTCAGACACAGCGTCACTTCACCCCCACTTACCAGCACACCGCAGATGGAGCTACCTCTGGGTGACTTCCTGTGACAAACAAAGCTTTGTGTTGACATTTTCTGATGAATTATTGATAAATTTAACTATATTTTAATCATTTGTGGTGCCTTAAAAACGGAATGTAGTTGCATGATCCAATCCACTGAACACAGCTGATCTCAGGGGAGTCAATTAAAGAAGTAGATCATGATGAGGTTTATCCGAGAGATTATTTGGTATTTGTTTATTGGGAATATGACTATGAATACATTACTGTGCAGCAATTTTTCACCCTGACCTCACTGTGAATGTGAACACCATCTCTGATGCCTTTAAATAATGCATTTGAGCATGTTGGAATACTTTACTTTTATGGCTCGATTCTTGAAGTGTATGGAAAAAAAATCAAGAAAATGTTCAGCATCTCTAAGAAAAAGCAGTATAATAACACTAACTGCCAAAATCCTTGTTTGTTTGCTATTAATCTTAACTTTTAAAATGAGAAAAAAAGCCTGCAGTGAACACTGCAGAAAGAAAAAAAACACTTGTATTTAATTGGTATCTTTGTTTTGTTTTTCCTCTACATACATTAAGCAAACATCTCACCAAATTTAGTGTTAATATCTTACCGCAAAACAAGATCATTTTAATACTAATTAATAATAGTGTTGCAGTGCAATAAGGCAAACGTTTTTAGCCAAGTCTCTGAGTTAAGGTTGACTATTTTTTTGTTAAATGGCATAAAAATGATCATTTCAGTTTTACATTGAAGGAGGATCAGAAAACAAACGTTAGACATTCAAAGTAACTTAACACACCAAACCAAGTGACTTCCAGTCATCATTAAAATACCCGACTAAAGCTCAAACAAATGTTTTATGACAGATCAGAACCTGAATAAGCAGTCTAATCAAGGACAGCTGATATCTAAATGTCAGCACGCACACACTTATCAGTACTCAGAAATAATTTACTTACATTTTAGGATTAGATTAAAAATAACAATATAAAATATGATCCCTAGAAAATGTGTAATGTGATTCTAATCTGCATACCAAAGAACAGAGCTCAAATTTAAAAATAAAAATGAAATTACAGTAATTTTGAAAGAATGTACTGGAGGAAAGCATTGAAAAAGATAAGCTCTCCTTTTTGAAGGCTTGGAGTATCAAGTCTCTCCACAGCATCAATAAACAGACAGAGAAATGCTTTTAAGGAGAGACAAGACACTTTCTCCATTACAGTTCATCTTTGTGGTTCAGGAAGAGTATTTACAGAGCATGTACAAGAATTACAAATGGAATGCCCAGAATGTCTGTCAGGAAAGAAAAAGCTTCAATATATTCACCCGGTATCGATTCACAAGACACAAGTGAAATATACTTGTACAGCTTTGGATCTGCCCTAATCAGTATGTGTAAATGAGGATGTTGATGAAAGTCTGTTTTCATCACATTTATACTTTGAGAAAGACCCAGAGGATACTGCAGAAACATTAGCTCCTCAGAAACACTAAGACTAGGGGTGTGTAACAAAAGTCACTAAAAGCTAGTCTTTATCTGTCTGTTCTATACCATTCAGAAATGTGGGGTTTGTATTTATGTTTTTTTTTTTTAGTATTTTATGCTCACCAAGGCTGCATTTATTTGATCAAAAATACACTAAAACAGTAATACTGTGAAATATTAATTTAAAATAACTTTTTTATTTCAATATGTTCTAAAATGTAATTTATTCCTGTGGTGGTAAATTTGAACTTTCAGCAGCCAATACTCCAGACTTCAGTGTCACATGATCCTTCAGAAATCTTTCGAATATGCTGATTTTCTTATTATTATCAATGCTGAAAACAGTTGTGCAGCTGTGGAAACTATGACAATTTGGATCATTTAAATGCATTCTTTCTGAATAAAAGTGTTAATTATTATTATTTTTTTTTTAAATCATCCTGACCCCAAATGCTAATGTACATGAAACAATGTGTAATTGAATATTTGAAGGATTACATATACACTGTATGCAAATCTGTTTTGTATGTGACAAGTTATAAATTACAAGTTACAAGTACATGTTAGCTAGATTTTAACTATTTAATTTGCAGGGAACTGAACCAAGCAGCTAAATTACCACAAACAAATGATCGTCCATGTAAAAATGTCAGTGATACAAGTGTATTCCCTCTAAATCAGAACATGGCCACTCTCTTTTCTGATTCATTACAAGCCATAAGAGACAAAACCCCAATCTTTCGCACCAATTTACTCATGAACGACGGGGAATTTCCAGCCCCCTCTTTAAGGCATTAGCAGAAAAGTGGTAGAGTGGTGAATTCAGTGGGAAAATCAATGATGCAGGACAGGACTAAAATTATTTCATTGTCCGAGTTCTTTATTAACATTAAACAGTCACTCAAGGGAGAAAAGCATCATGCTGTTCTCTTGCACTGTGAGGCCCGAGGACACATAACACACTGGCATGCTTTAGTTGCATGAGTACAGCTCATCACAATGGCCCTTCAGTGTGTCCAACACCTCAGAGGCAGAGTTAGCAATCGGTCTTCAGCTACCCCTGCAACATCCACTCTGATTCCCTGACTGCTTCCTATATCGCCTATAGCACAATGGGAGCCGGTGAGGTGCTGTCGGGCAGCATATCAATCCCTCCCATCCTCTGCAGAGAAGCTCGGGCTCCATTAAGATGCAGTAAGGGACTCCGATCCTGAGCCGGGGCGGGGGCCTTCTCTGTTTGGTATTCATCTACCTGCAGAGCTATCAATTCAGGTCTTTCAGCGCAGGGCTCAGACGTGTCATCAGGGGATGTTGTTCTCGCCTATTGGTTGCCGCAGGTTCGCAGGGCCCTGGTTAATGCCGCTAAAAGCATTAACTCTAATAGATTCCAGCGATAAAGGCAAGAGGGCGGTTTGATGATGATTGACTTCTTCGGTAATGAAAATCTGCCGCTACTGAGAATGGAGCGGCCCTATGGAAGAGGTTTAAGAATTGTGGCTGATGCCACAAAAGTAAACGAGAAAAAAAAGAAAAGAAAGAACGGGAGGGATGGGATTAGAAAGCCCTTACAGTACGTGAATCGTGTGCAGGAACTCTTTGTTTTATCAAAAAACTATATGACTTCACAATAGCTAACAAGAGCTAAAGGTAACACTTTATTTCGATAGTCCACTTTAGACATTCTATTAACAGTAAGTAACTTTGCAACTACATGTCAACTAGCAGTTAGTAGAGTATTAGTAGACTGTCTGCTTAATATCTTCTAACACTTTATTTGTCAACTTATTCTACTAACCCTAAACCTACCCTAACAGTCTACTCTGAGAGTTAGTAGACATGTAGTTGCAAATTAATGAGAATTAGTTGACATGTAGTTGACATGTAGTTACAAAGTTACTTATAGTTAATAGAATATCTAAAGTGGACTATCGAAATAAAGTGTAACCGAGCTAAATGACTTTAGTATCACAGGAGACATTTGATGAGTGGGCCAAAGCTATTTCTCACTACAAGGCAAACTTTTGAGATAGCTCATGGGTAAACAGAAATGTACCCAAAGTTCACCCAAATTGAAAATTCAGTCATCATTTAGTCATGTCATCCCAAAAGTTTATGACTTTTGTTTTCTGTGGAACACAAAAGAAGTTATTTAGAAGAATGATTTGTCCAAACAATGAAAATCAACGGGGTCCAAAACAACACTGGACTTTATAAAATAAAACAAAGCGGAAACATCAATTTAAGGTGATGCTGCATGTTGCCAAAACAAGATGTACAGTATTGTCAGGAGTAAAAAACTGGAAAACAGAACCTTTCACCACACTGAAAAATCATAACTCACACTATAGTATTTCAGTAGCTAATTAGTGGCATGAACAACTATGAAATGCAAAATTTAGAAATACTTATCCAATCTGGCAGCAACAACACTTTTGCAAAGGAAGAAATAATAAAATCTTAAAATATTTAATATAGTACAATCAATCAATAAATAGTCCAAAACAGTTGCTTTGTCAAGAATTTACTGTAAAAAGTGAAAATCTACTTCTAATGGGCAAATAATTATCTACTTTTCCAATGGAAATCCACTGGTATTAAAATGCCTTTGCATAGGCTATTTTATAGAATAACAAAACAGTTAGCATTGCTACAAATATAACCTTATGTACTGTACCTTGCTAAAAAAAACGTATATAAAAAATAGAAACAAAAGATTATTTAAATTAGTAAACTGGAGACCACAAAAATGTGCACAGGCTGGCTTTGATGTAAGTCAGAAGTTATTTAAAGCTGCAGTCCGTAACTTTTTTTGGTTAAAAATGATCCGAAATCAATATTTGAGCAAGTACATAACCAGCCAGCGTTCAAAACTATCACCTTACTTTAGCCCGATTCACAACGTTTATCTTATAATAATATTTTCTAATTTGAGTGGTACGGGTAGGTTTTTACGGGAAATTCGAGCATGGCGCTGTGTCATTACGTCACGTCTGTAAACATAAAGAAGTTTATAAATGTGCTTCTGATTACAGATAGCCTGGGATTACACAAGATTTGTATTTTAAAGACAACCAGTTCGAAGGGAGCATAATTTGCTTTTTGGGTTAAAAGAATTTCTTAACATGAAATTTGAATGGTATGACAATTAGAGATTAGACTATACAGAAACTGAAATCTACATGCTAATACACACTGTATAGGCAATGCTGATGTTGTTAACATTAATAATTTGAGAATAAAGTATAACAATAATAATAAGTTGAACGGTTTGATGTGATATGAGCTAACCGATCTTTAGATTAAATCACCATTGGTAGCGCTCTACATGCTAATACACACTGTATAGGCAATGCTGACGTTGTTAACATTAATAATTTGAGAATAAAGTATAACAATAATAATAATTTGCATGGTTTGATGTGATATGAGGTAACCGATCTTTAGATTAAATCACCATTGGTAGCGCAATTTATTGTAATAATTTTTTCCTCAGTTGGTCAGAACAAACATGGCAGACTTGTTACTTACTTGTTCAGATGACAATATACGGTGAAAATTCTTATTTGGGTCATATATTCCAAGACATAGGCTAGAATCTGTGATTGCGAAGTAAAGTAAATATCCACACCAGTGCAGTGACTGACTGCCACACATACTCTTCAGAACATTAGATTCATCCGCGCTGGAGCCGTGC